CTGTGGAAGACTTCCTTTACTGGTTCAGGGGAATAACATTTTTTTTTTTAGAAGATAAAACCTTTTTCCTCTTAATGGTATTACAGAACAAAACTATTCGTAACAGCAGAGAAGGAGAAAAATAAGCTTAATTTTCCTGGTAAACAATACAAAGCAGGGGAAAGTAATTTTTAGGAATTTTAGCAGAAGATTCAGCTGAAGCAACTTCCCTGACCAGAAGGGAGCATGCTTAGGGAACACCAGAGGTGTGCGCGAAGCCTCTGGATGAGTTTTGACTCCGTTTATCAGAATTCACAGACTTTCCAGGTGTACGATCGCTTCCAGTCGGACAGAATGGCGTAGCGAACGAAGGCGTGATGAGGCCAAGTAGTGCGGGGTGCTCCGAAAGCCTTGTTTTCAGTTGGGTGGCGCAGTTGTCCGGGGCGTAGCGAGAGACCGCTCGGCAGGTCCGGGTTCTCCCGCACCAGTAACGTCGCCTGTTCATCCTTGCCTTTCTTCCTCCGCCCTGGCCAGCAGTGCCCTCGTCGCCACCCCCTTACCCTGGGTTTTTGGATCTTTGCTCTAGCCATGCCTCGTTGCCTCCTCCCGCGGTGCTTCCCGGGCACCTTTGCTACGTGCCAAGTGCGTTCCTAGTAACGATGGCGGAAGAAAAACGCGTGTCATAAAGCTTTGGAAGTGACCTCAGTACGTCACGTCACCGCTCGGAACGGGTCCTGGTGCGGAAGATGCCCTAATAACGGACCCCTGGTTTCCAGACAGCCGAGCCCCTTTGGCTGGAGGTCCTGACAATGTATTAGTTCAGCTTTCCCTTTGTAACCGCTGTGATTCTGCAAGAACGTGTCAATGTGTCGTGGATCTCAGACTAATTAGTTTTGAAATGGAGTTTTGATTGAACTCTTCAAATCGATGCTGCTGCAAAATTTGTTTCTCAGCTTCCTATTAAAAGCCATCTTAAGGGGCAGTTTTACTACTCTCTCTGTCGTTCAGTCGATACATTTAATAACAACTTACAGGCTATTTTCAATAAAGTGGCGACAGCAAATTAGTAGTTTGAACATGACAAGCCTCCTCTGCAAGCTCAGATTCTGAAAATTCAAAGCAATTATTTTTATACAGAGGCACACTGCAATCATTCAGATTACGGGTATTCTGTTGTAATGCGTCTCCTAGGTTGACACAAACAGAATTTTATGACTTTATTTGGACAGGAAGGAGATGCAAATATTAATATTTATTATGACACCAATACGCTAATTTGTAAATCCTATTACTGTGTTTTACGTCGCGCAGAAAAGTGGGTCTGTGACCCCGCCAGCTAGTTCAGTTTCCTTTTTTACTGGGAAACGATTGTGGTCGCCTTTATAAATATTTGTGTCTATTAGAGGGGCGCGCAAAAGCAAATAAAGGTTTTGTAATTCCAGCTAACGCCGCCCGTAAAAGTAGAACTCAATAATCATTATTGTATTATACGCTGAATCGATGCGTTGTGCCTTTAAATGGATTTGAAGAATTATGTATATGTTTTTCTTCACCACTCTTCTGCCTGTTTCCCCCCTCCCCCCGCTGCGCGCGCCCCCCCCAATGGCAGATGTTGTGGTCTCATTTGATTGCATAGGAAAACTGCAGTGATACAGCAAACACCCAGAGAGATATGATGACAAATGGGTCCAGATCCCGGTAAATTACTTTCTGCTCAAATCGAAATTTCATTCAGTTTGTTGCTAGCAGAGATGAAGTAATCTAAATTGTGGACTCAGGAGCAGATAGAGGGAAGTTGGAGCAAGCATTTCATTATCAAGAGAGAGAGAAGGTTAGGATGAAAGAGATGAGCAGAGGCAAATCTAAAGTGTTGACACCATGATTGAAAAGGTTAACCCATACACATTATATATCAACCTGGATAGCAGAGAGTTTCTAATGGAAACTCTGCACTGATGGAGGTTTACTGGAGTTTCAATACACTGAGCATGATGTCTTCTTAGATATACAATCAAATCCTCTTAACCCTTTTGATGACTCATATCTCAAGATATGATTAAAGTACAAAAGAGTTCTTCATATAATTTCAAGGACACAATGCATTTAAACTCCAGTCATGAATTGTATCTTTTTTTTTTTTTTTTCTTTTATGATGAACCCAGTAATCTGATAAAATGTGTGTAGTACAGAATTGTTTGTGTTTCTGGAGGTGTAAGTCAATATTTCTGATTAAATCCTGTGTAACCGCATCCGAGGTAGGGTGAAGCCACCGGTTGTTACACAAAAATACACTTTTTCGTATTATGACACGTAAGCAAGTCGGAGGACGGGGGTCAGAAGTCTGAAATAGTTGTGTGTAATAAACCATTGCAGCGATGCGCAAAAGTGCTCAGAGCCTCCTGTGTATTAAATTATTCATGATCATCACCTCTGTTTCAGGTTATTTGGAAACAGCGGTGCTTGCAGTGCCTGTGGACAGTCCATTCCTGCCAGCGAGCTGGTCATGAGGGCACAGGGCAACGTCTATCATCTTAAGGTGAGGGGGTTTCTCTGTGCATTTGGGGTGGGTTGGGTTTTTTTTTTAGTAGCTGATTAGTACTGCTGGGCTTCCTCGGTATGAAATCTGCATCTGCTTACGAGCGAAACGCCAAGCAGCAACTAGAAATACGAGTGTATGTGGTAAAGCTTCCCTCGCTGCGTCGCTTTGTTCCCTCGAAGTCGGTAAAACTGCGCTTGAGTTATGTACCGCGTGGTCCCAACAGGTAAGACTAATGCCACGTTTGGAGACACTGGAAGCCAGGCAGCTCCATATCTCAACTGTACTTGCCGTCTCTGAAGTGTAATTTTCCAACCTGCAGCATACTTAATTTGTGCTGTAGTTTCACTCGCTGTCTCTTTCCCTTTGCAGTGTTTTACATGCTCTACCTGCCGGAATCGCCTGGTCCCCGGAGATCGGTTTCACTACATCAACGGCAGTTTATTTTGCGAACATGATAGACCTACAGCTCTCATCAATGGCCATTTGAATTCACTTCAGAGTAATCCACTACTGCCAGACCAGAAGGTGAATACTCAACAATTACTAATAAGCTTTATTAGAGCTAAATGAAGATCAATTTCTTTTCATTCTAATAGTGGAAGTGTGTGTGTCCCCTCCCCTGCAAGGAGACCTTTAAGTAACTGAACTTGCCTGAAATAGCTTAGGCGTGGGGTACGGGGAGGAAACACTGACCTTTTAAACACGACAGGTAGGGTGAGTCAGTTTATTTTGGTTTGGGCACGTGCCTCTCTGCAGCTGTTGAACCCCTTACGTGCGAAGCGAAAGGGAGAGCATGCGTTAAGATAACCTCTTCACAAAGAGAAGTATTTTATTTAATAATCTCGAAATTAAGGGCTACAAGAGAGCAGGTTTCTGCGGGAGGAAAATTAGATCCTTTAATATGGAAATAAACGTCTTGTGAAGAGAAGGTTCGTGAGCTGAACCAGTGTGTTTCACTTTAATACGGAGGGCTGAGTTGAGGAAGCATGCTGGGGTGCTCTTTCAGAAGTACTTTCTTGTCTGTTTTGTATGTCATAACTCAGATTTAAAAACCAAAGCGCTGTTTTCTTATCGCTCCGTAACACTAATAGCTCAACTAGAGGCTGTGTGTCTCTGTGCTCGATAGCCCTCGGTTTCTAGCTAAGTAAGGAAGTGATGACTCTACAAATCGTGTAGAGCAGAGGAAGAAAATTCCTGAGCAACAGTTGTCCTGTAACTCTGAAGCTAGATAGTTTTAGATCTATTTTAATCTCCTTAATAAGTCCTAAAGCTATGCAAGTGAGTGCATTTTGATAACTGCTGCGCCTAATTTGTAACAATTACTGTCAACCTTGAGTTAAGAGACTGTTCATTCCACCCTGGTCCAGAAAAGAGTGAATGTATGACTCTTGCACATAATTTTATTCACATCATATTTCATACTGATTATGTATTGATGACATTGATTCATTTACTCTTTACAGCGCCACTTGCATGGATATTAAATCTTATTGACCACAGATGAATTTTAATTTCAGATTGGTGATAGATTTTTCCATCAGCTCTGATAGTATATTTGACTTTTTCATCATTAACCCAGGCAATCACACAGCACTGAGTTATTGCAATGAAACAAAAAGTGCACACTTCAGTTGGTAATTCTTTATAGATTTACAATAGGAACTTCATTAATGTCTGTAAGGATCACAAAAAATAACATTTATCTGCAAATAGGAATTTGGAAGATTAAAAAAATCTGGGGCAAACGCTGGGCTGATCTAGTCTGTAATGTACAGAATATTTTTAGTGCTTTTAGTTAGCGGAGAAATATGTCCGAGAAAACACAAACTGGTTTTTAATTCCCCTGGGGTTTGGCTTGGTGTTTTTTTTTTTTTTTTTTTTTTTGTTGCTACATTTCAATATCGGTGTTTGCTTTTTTTTTTTCCCTTGTGCATAAATTTACTGATTAATTTTAAGTATTCTTTCAGCTCTTAGGCAGCGAGTGTAATTACATCAAAACAAAACACGGACCTTTTTTATTTACTTAATTTGTCAATCGAGGTGATGAGAGAGTCGAGTACAAAAGTCCTACATAGTTGGGCAGAACAAAGATAATTAAGGCTGGAGGAGAATGTGCAGCCTCTTCTGAAGGCAGGACAAATACAGTTAAAGATTCATAGATTTGTACTGTTGTGAATTTTAATGAAACAAACCTGCGATACGGGCCGGCTAGCAGTGAATCTGTTAAACGAGTACCTGTAGGTATCCCCGTTGCAAAATATAGGTAAAACCATTCGTCTTCATACACCGCAGCGAGAGGTTTACCATTCCGAGCGAGCGGTTTATCCACTTGCCTTCTACGAGTGTAAAGTTTAATGTCACTTCAAATAGGTGTCTAAATTGTCATTTAGTTTTATCAGTTTCTTACTACGCCTTCGCAAAACATAAAAATGATTGAGTTGCAATAAAAGCGGTAGACATGGCGAGGAACACAGAACATGGAAAAGAGAAGTGCGATCGGACCGGGCTGGCAGAGCTCAGGGCTGCAGGCGCCCGGTGGAAGCGAAATGCAGAGGAAACGGCGAGAACCGGTTTTTATTAGTTCCTGTCACCGACTGTTAACGGCGGCGCCACGGTCAGGGATGAGGCAGATGACGAGGTTCTGGGGGGGGGGAGAGCGGATCATCTGGGATATTCTTCCTTCATAGTATCATCTCTCTAGCAAATGGGGTGAGTCCTTATTCGGAGGGGCATTGCGGAGCACCTGGGCCCCAGAAAACCGAAGTACAGTCCAGGAGACAAGTTGATAATTCCCAGATTTGTCAGTTTTCTGGAGTTTTGGAAGCTACGGGGGGCAGGTGCCAACAGAGTCGTGGTTTTGTATGTTGGCTTTTTACAAGTCGGAAGATGTTTGCATCGGAGATGTTTTCCAGAAAGCGGCGTGGTTTAGGGCCAGTCGTGAAAAATGTTCTTCCGCTAGGACGGAGTTGGCTGTAACAGGTACTTTTTGCTAAACATCAAAGATCGGTCAGTCTCCAGGTTTAGGTTTAGGTCTACGACTAGAGGTTATAGACACAGCAGAACATTCGGAGGGGTTTTTTATTCAACTGGCGAGATTGAGACCTGCTCCCGCCATTGAGACGCGTTGTTGCTGCGCACGTGACGGTGCCGAGCTCCCTGTCGCCTGAGCAGTTCACAGGTCGCTGCCTGGGGGTGAAGGGCGCGGGCGGAAAGGGCGGCACGGCCCGAGTTTGCTTAAAAACTCGCTTTTCGTTTGAAGGAGGCAAACGCAGCGACGCTGCCTGTTCCTGCCTTTTGCCTCCCGGAGGCCGTTCTCACGTGTCGGGCGTAACCTCCCATCCCTGGCTACGTAGCTGGGGGAAAAAAAACCCAAACCCCAAAACATTTTCTCTGGACTCCTACCGCTCGCTGCAGAACGCAGGCTCTCAGTTTGTGGTGTCCCGTGTGCCCTTCCATTGGAAGGGGCTGTATGGGCAAGGAGTCCCCGTGCGGTTTTGGGGAGTGGGAGTACTCCTGCCGGGTGTCCTGCTGGCAGCAGCGTTACCGCCTGCTGGAAGCGTCGATTTTCCCCCCCCGGTTGGCAATGTTCGTAGCAAGCTTCTGTACTGTTAAATAGAGTATGAGCTAGATTACGTGTCTCAGAGAAGATCTTAAAAATCTTCTAGTTTACATATCACTCAGCAATTCCCTTGTAGTTACATAATTGGTGTTGTCTGTGTCCATAGTAGAAGATATTTGATGCTCATTTATTAAATATGCTTGCTGGCTGCTCCCTAATCTTTGTTCTGGACAGACAAATTACCTTTCTCATACTGAGCTTCAGCTCTGGGGAATTAAACCTCCAAGCCTCTACTACTTTAATTAGCTTGAAAGTGGGGGGTTGCAGTTACTAATAGACCTCAGGCTTTTAGTAACTTGGAGAAAGGGTGAAAAAAAGAACTTCCTGGGAAGCGCGAAATGTCGTTTAAAAGCCATAAAAATCTAATATATATTATTTAATTTTGGTAATTGCAAACAGATTGTATGTGAAGAGTATGGATGATCATTTCTATTCTGTCCGTGAAAGTTTAGATTTTTATTGAGTTAGACACTTTTAATTATCACAATTCATTAACACCAGTGTGAAAGCACATGTTTGACTTCGTATATTAAAATGTTTATGTAACATTAACTAACACACCAGATGAGGAATTTTAAATGGGGGTGTGTGTGTGTGTGTGTGTGTGTGTGTCCCCTGAAATATCTATATTTAGCTCTTGTGCAATGCAGCATATTAACCAAAGTTGCCTTGGGAGGATATTGGCCGTACTTCTGATTTGCGTTACACACTATTTCTTCCAATTACACGATCGTGTTGCCAGCTTCTTCAAAGGCACGGCGTAACGCTCCTTCCCTCGCAGAGGGGCCCAGCAGAGCCGCCACATTCACTGTACGAGTTGTTACCAGCAAGTCACCGCTTCGTTGTTGTCGTCTCTTTCGTTTGGTTTTGTTTTGTTTCCCTGTCTGCTCTTTTTAGTGGTGAAACTGTGGAAAAGGTTTGCTTTTTGCTATTTGAGGTTGAAACGTTAGCAGGGTGACTGGGTAGTGTAGAAAGCCTTGCTCGAGTCACAGTTGGAAAGTAATCTAATAAAAAAGAGATTAGTGAGTAAGGAGAAAGACAAAAGCAGTCATGTTGTAGTTTCCTCTCTCCAATTTAGCACTCTAGCTAAGATACCCATTTTTATTTCTTACAGGTCTGCTAAAAGGTCAGAGTAATGCAGAATGCGTGCCTTCATCTCAAATTTTGTTCATCACAGATGGATCCCATGTCTCCAAGTAGACAAGTCACCTTTGTAGCTAGCATCAATGCCAGCTCCATGCCATTGCACCTTCTTTATTCTTGATTGCCCTTCCCACATTTATTGGTGTATTAAAATGACTGAATATGAACATTAAGGACTCCATGAACCTGGGCTAATGGGAGACTGTAGAGAAAATGAAAA